TTTTTTATTTTATATTCTTATTTTTATTTATTTTTAAAAGATTTTTAAAATTTATTTGAGAGACAGAGAACAAGCAGGGTGAGCGGCAAGCAGAGGGAGAGGGAGAAGCAAGGCTCCCCACTGAGCAGGGAGCCCCTCGAGGGGCTCCATCCCAGGACCCTGGGACCATGACCTGAGCCCAAGGCAGACACTTAACCCACTGAGCCACCCAGGCGCCCCTACTCTTATTTTTAAAGTGAGTTCTGAATTGGACCCAAGAGTTCTGTCCTTATTTCTGTACCTAATGAGCTGGGTGACCAGTGGGCTTCACTCATTCTTCAAAGGTGACCAAGTCCTCACCTGTGAAACAAGACAACTAGACAAGTTTGTCCCACTCTAAAACTATAGCGTTCTGTCGGCGTATTTTGAAATTCCTTAACTCACTGGAATCAAGGACTGTGACCTTCAAGCTGGAAGCCCCGGGGCACAGAGCGCCTGGTGGCCCTCAAAAAACGTGTGGGTCAACTGATATGTGTGGTCTGGAATGCGGACACTCAATTAATATACTTTGTTGCATATGCATTTTCCTTTTCATACTCAACACATCTTGACGTGATCATTCTGCTATGTTTAAAATAAAAAGCAATGTGCTCCTTGTCAGTGCCGTCCCTTCCGGAAACCAATCTCTTGGGACATCACTGATCACCGCCCCTCCCTCCCCATCTGCCACATTCCTAAGTAGCCAGAAAAGTATTATAACTCAGCAACTTCAACGTTTAAAGAACGCTTTTAAAAATCACTTTGAATGTTTCGAGCAACAGTGTCCAGCAACCAAAGGAGTGAGAGGAGTGAGGGGCCCCTGTTGGGACTCGCCCGGCTACCTGCCCCCCGCATGGATCACCCACTAGGGGACCCCGCCGTCCCCTCGAGTCCCCGCACCCTCCGCCGCCGCGGAGCCTCCCAGAGCCAGAGCCCAGGACCCCACGCCAGGACGGAGGAGGCCTGGCCGGTACCTGGCGGGTAATACCGGAGCAGGAGGCTCTTAAGCTTCATTTTCTCCTTTCCAGGTCCCCGGTCAACGCTCTTTGTAGCCATGGAAACGGCCAAACAGCGGCGGGTCTTCGGCGCGCATGCGCGAGCTTCCGGGGCGCGGAGCTGGGCGTGCAGGCTTCCGGGGTGCGGTCTGCGGCGCGGGCGACCCCGGGTGGGTTGGGGGGCGTCGGCCCGGCGAGGCGCGGCCAGGGAGCACGCCCTGCCCCCGTCGGAGCCCGCACCTGCCTGCTTGTTCCCAGGGGCGGACGGGGGCTCCAGGGCGCGTGGCTGAAGAGAGCGTTGCCACCCTCGCTCCTTCTGCACCTTCGGTGCCTGGGCCACGCAGGGACGGGGTGGCGGGGGCCTCGCGTCCCCAATCAGGGTGACCTCACAAGGGGCGAGGCGCGGCCGGGGAGGGCGAGGTGCGGGCCGCGCCCACTGTGGCCCATTGAGTTCCCAAGGAGGAGAGACGGGAGAAAAATCCCCTCCGGGTCACCATTCCCTGCCTCTCCTCCAGGCCTGTCCCTGTCCCCACAAAAGAATTGGGACCACAACGTAAGCGGCTACATTTCCTGACGCTGTGCGGTACGCTGCGCTTGGCGCCTTATACCCCTGTAGCTGTAGAGACTACCAGAGGTTTGAGATGTGCACCATTTCTTCCCGCCCCCCCTCACGGATGGGACCACCCAGAATCAGAAAAAGTGAGACAACCCGCCTCTGCCCAGCTAGCGAGCCGCGGAGGCGGGATGGGAAGGCAGGTGTGTCAGAAGCCTGTCCCCTGGAGCCCACACGGTACTGTCCACCCAGGGTTTAAGGCTTTCCGGACATTTTTGTGGCCTGTTTCTTGCCAGAATCGGTCCTTTGCCTGCCAAGTCCAGTTCCCATGAGGAAGACTGGGCGGCCGGGAAGAATCAGTGGGGCCAGACTGTCCATTTCCTTTAAGGACTTTGGCCTAAATTCCAAAGTCGGAATTTCCCCAAAGGTAAGCGCTTCGTCTGTGGCCTTCACAACTGTGGGCCACGTCCACTCATCACTTCCATTCCCCTGTACCTAAAAGTTTTCCTTGAGTTCTTACAATTTCTCCAAATTGACTCACTTATTTTACTTCACGTTTTTAAATGGAAACTTGAAAGAAAATTATTGTTAATCCTGTAAATTAGAATTTTACCCAATTTTCAATGAGGAGCAACAGGTAACTGTAAAAATAAACATGATTTTTAAAATGCTATTGAATGAACTTATACTATTGCCTACCAGAGACTATGAACCAAAGGCCTTCCCTTTCTTAAAAAAAAAAAATATATATATATAGGAAAAATCAACTATTTGAAATTTTCAAGACAGCCTAGCACCCAACTGAGCCTTTCTACTTCATGTACTCAGAAGGTTGGAGAAATCACTGAAATGGGAGAGCCTCTGCTACGGTGTGAAACAATTAAGCCTAATACAAATGGGAAGACATAAAAATCATAGCATCCCACACTTGGGAAACAGAAAAACAGATGAAATCTAAGATTCCTCCTAGCTCAAAGTCTCCCCTAATCATTAAGACTCTGGAAGAGGTTTAAGTGGGGAAGGGCAAAGAGGTCATCTATAGAAACAAGGAAGTCTTGGGGCTCCTGAGTGGCTCAGTCAGTTAAGTGTTGGACTCTTGGTTTCCCCTCAGGTCATGATCTCGGAGTCATGGGACTGAGCCCCACCTTGTGCTCCTGCTCATCATGAAGTAGGCTTGATATTCTCTCCCTCTCCTTCTGCCCCTCCCCCAGCTCTCTCTCTTTCTCAAATAAATAAAATCTTAAAAAAAAAAAAGAAATAAGGAAGGCTTTAGTAGATTTTGTTCACCCATTTACTGTTTATGCTTGTGACATTTTAAATGAGGCCTTTGAAAAAATAGTAACCTTACAATGGAGAAATCCAGTAGACACCATTTAACCATTGGAATCGAAGTTAACATCCCCAATGTACGGACAAACTGACATTCATACACCTCCGAATACAATCCAATGACAAGAACACAGCAATTCTCTGGAATTCCTGCCTGCAAAGCATTACCTGTCTCTAATCATGAGGAAACATGAGGACAACCCAAATTAAAGAAATTGTACAAAATAACTGTCAAGGTCAAGAAAAAAAAAAAAAAAACAATGAAAACTGCTTCAGATTAAAGGACACTAAAGACATAGAACAATTAAATGCACTGAGTGATCCTGAACCAGGAAGAAAATTAGCTGTAAAGGACATGATTGGGACAATTGGATGAGACATTGTGGTTTAGATTATATTGATATTATATCAATATTAAGTTTCCTGATTTTGATCATTGCACTGTGGTTATATAAGACAATGTCCTTGTTCTTAGAAAAAAATACACTTATTTAAATAATTTAGAGATAAAGGGGTATTTTATCTGCAATAACTCTCAAATGGTTTTGAAAATTTTTGTTTATGTGCAGGGGTGTGTGTGTGTGTGCGCGCGCATGCACGCGTGTGTTTGGCTACGTGGATGAATAAGAAACAATAAAGCCACTGAGAAAAAAAATGTTGAATCCAGCTAGGCAAAGGGCTCCTTTTGAGAAGTTCCTTGTCCTACTCTTGCAACTTCTCCAAAAGTTTGAAATTATTACAAAATAAAAAGTGGCCTTTGTTTTCCACAGAACAAGCCAGGCTTCAGAATGTTCCAGGATATAGATAACAACCACAGAACCATCTGGCTCCACTTTTGTTAAGAGAGCCCCAAGTTCAAGTTCACTCCCTGCTTCACCCCTAATTTCACCTCCACCTTCCTCTAGTTATGAGACCAAGAGCCTCCACCACTGTTACCTATCTATCCTCCACCACTCCCTCCATTTCCAGGAGTTCCTGAAATTCCTAAGTGGCTCTTGTCTTTCTGTTCCAGGTAAAGGATTTCTCCTACTCCCTTGAACCAAACTTTAACAGGTTGTCCTTTTGCTTATTAAAAAAAGAATTCCAGCTCTGCAGCTTTTGACATCCTTCCCTTGGCTCAAAGAGTTTAAGCCAAGTTCTCCCACATAAGTTAGAGAACTTCCTCACCACCTCCACATCACATCCAGAGCCCTCTTTACAGACTCTGGGGCACAGGTCCTTGGTGTTGAAGTCCCGTCTTCCCACAGCTCATGCCCACCAGGGGTCAGCAGCCCTCACCTCTGTCTTCACTTGAGAGTCATTTTTCCAGATGTGGATAAATCCAGACACCCTGACTGTCCCAAAGTTCTCTCACAGTTTCTCCCTAACATCTAGGTACTCTTTGCTGATAGGATTCCTAGTGTACTGACTTGACAGCCCAGAATCCTGTCACAAGTACCCAGTGTAAATCCCCCCACCCCCCTTTTTGGGAGGCAGTAGGCTTGTATGCAAATGAAGTGGTGATCCAAAGAGAAGCAAGGGAAGTTCATGAGTGTGGGCAGATTTCTCTTTTGGCCTTGGCTTACGTTGAGGTTAAAGCTATGCTTAATTGACTCAGCATTTACTCATTCCTGGAAGGTGCTGCATGAATCTCTCAACCTGAGTAAATGTCTGTTTCATGCTAATTCACCCCCAGTGCAGAGCCATTAGCCATAAATGATGTACAGAAATCTACAAAAACAAAACTCCTACATTGCCCGGGTGGTGGGTGCTCATCTCAGTGTCTGGCAGACTTGGTATGACTTCCTCACAGGACTACTCTAGAGACCTTTCTAAAAGTTGTATCATACTTTTTCATCAATTCCTGCCATTCTGTGTTGATTTGACCATTGACCCACTAAAGGAACAATCGGCAATCATAATGGATTTGTATATATAAAAGTGACATTTGACTCTGGGTTTCTTCCTGCTGACACCTGCCTTGAACAATCAGAAACTTAAAAAAAAAAAAAATTAGTAGCACTAACTTTACTCCCCCAAACTAATTCTGTCTGGTGGATTGAAGCCACGCTGGGTTTCCGTTCTCAGTGTGCCCTGGGCCAGCAGCATCAGTCTCACCTGGGAACTTGCTAGAAATGTAAATTCTTGCCCCACCCTACCGCCTACAGGATCAGAAATGCTGGTAGCAAATACCCAACAATCCATGTTTGAACAAGTTTTCTGGTGATTCTGGTGAATAATAAAGTTTGAAAACCACTCAGTATATATGGTATAATATGTTACAATGGCTTGGCCAGGACTGAGTGAAGGTGGACACTCTCCCCCTACCATCGGGCCTTTTATGTATCCTGAAGTCTTCCCTGATCATCAGGGACAGTAAGCTGCTCGCTCAGCCATATCCGAGGATATGAAGAGAACCCAGAAACAGTGTGGGAAGACACTGGAATTCTCTACATAATTGGGTTTCGGAGTCTCCAATGCGCTGAGTGTGAAGGAAGGCTGGGGGTGGAGGAATGTCTACAAGTGGGAGAGGGAAAGAAGGAGGGGAAGAAGGACCGATGGAGGGAGGCAGGAGTCAGCCTGGGGGATCTGGGTGAGCACTGAGGCAAGACCGATGGGCAGGAATGTGGTTCCAGCAGGACATGGTGGTTCCCATTTGACCCAGTTCCTCCTGGAAAGAGCCATGACATCAATGGGAGACTATAATCACTAGTTTTGGGGGCACCCATTGAAAGCAGTACGTAGAAAAGAGAGGTACAGTTGCCTTCTGGAAAGAAGGTACAGAGAATGAGATCTGAATGTTCAGAGACCGGCAGGAGAGGTCAGCTGTGCCTCCCAGGTCATGGGATCCCAGTACAGCAACCCCAGAGGAGCTGCATCCAGGCTTTTGAACCTTCTTCCCATTTCTGCCTCCACATCACTGAAGGACCTGTGGAGTACCTGATCTCATCTGGGACCAGAAAACCAGCGGCGCCAGGGGCCACTAATTGATTCACTAAGTATATATAGAGGGCCTACCAGTGCTAGGCATGCTTCAGGTACAAAGGACCTAATTCTGAAAACAGTAACTTGGGGGAAGTCATTCCTAGAAAGGATCAGTTTTCAGGTGGGTTTGAAACGATTGTGTTTATGGAGTGGGGGGCATGTCCCTAAGTAGGGCTACATTTACGATCAATGAGGGACTGCTCCTGGGACAAGCAG